CATTCCTAAATTTTACCGTTGGGGGTCACCACAACTTGGCAAATGTTACCAAGGGGTGCCGGCCCTAGAAAGGTTGAGAACCACTGCCCTAGAGGGTTTTTATTTCGTTATGTTCATCACATCACGAGATTAGCACGAATCGGACACACATCTGACTTTGTTCTTTGGAAGAAAATATAGCTGGACTTCTTTTTTACTTCCTTTGATTTTCTTGGATTTACTTCACATCAGATTTTTCATCAAAGTTTTTCAAACAACAAATTTTTATTTTGTAGTCACGTTCACTTGATATTTGTATGCAACAAATCTGTATTTGTTTCACCTACTGGGATTTATTGGATGAAACATTGTACACAAATCACTCGTTTTTGATTTTTTTTTTCACAGAGATACAATTATTGTTTTCATTTAGACACATAAGTCTATTTGTATATATTTTTTCACTCACAAAGTTTCACAATTATACATGTTTTATGTATAAACATTATCTATATATTTGGGTCTAACACTGGGAGGCTTTTAGCGCTACACTGTTGATCCATTAACCCCTAGGGCTTACCGCCTGAGTTGCATGCAGCAGCTTCTAGCCAGTCCGGTTTTTCTTGTTTTTTTTTTTCTTTCTTCCTCCAGAAGCGCAAGTCTTTGTTTTTTATTTTTATTTAAGTTTTCCTAATACTAATTTTCCCTTCCTATTTGTCACTCTTTTCGTCTTGTACTATTGTTCCAGGGCAAATTGCCCCACAGTGCTAAAATAGAACATTTATTTAAAAAATCTTACTGTACATGACAATTTAAATTCCCAAATGCCAACCCAACCACTGGCACCTTTAAAAAAATCACTATACATACTTTTTTCCATCAGTCTTCAGTCTAGACATATTACCTCACAGGTCCGGATTGCCCTCTCCTTCCTTTGGCAGTGGGTGGATCCTAAATGCTGCATTACATGGAACTGTTCTCTGCAGCATTTTCCACTACATCCAGAGGTGTGGGGGGGGGGGCTCCCAAGGCTCATAGGAAGTGATTTGAATGAAGCTGGGCCTGATTCAACGTGAAAGAGAAGTGGCCCCTGATAGGAGAATTAATCTTGTTCTCTTATTCTTGGTTTGTATATAGTTAATATTTTGAGCAAGTAAACCTGTGCTTTTTGAAGGTTCTGAATAAACTGGCCTTGAACCGCTTTCACTTGCTCGCAGCTGCATTCTTGTATCATTAAAACTGTGTCTTCTTATCTCATTTTCTGTAACCCCCTGTATGACCATTCTATGACCCATGGTAGCATTTATTAATTAATATACATGTGCATGATTTGTATTGGTTTATGCCCCGCCATCCATTTCTTAGTTTTGTATATAAATTCCTTGTTTTACAATAAACCTTTGATTTTGAGCGGATACCACATATCTTTGTGTCTGTGTTGATTCTCATATCCCGAGCTCAAGAGTGTACCGATTCAGCAGAAGAGAAGTTAAGTCCACGGCAGATTTGACCCCGAGGTTATCACACGGTAACCCATACATCTTTTGGTGGCAGCGGTGGGATTCTCACTGGCGGTGAGTAACCTTTCTTTCTTCTGAACTGCTCTCTGCTTCCAGACCGGTGGGTTACGGTGAACTACGTTCACCAGCGCTTTGGCAGTGCCACACCAGTAGGGCGCCAGTTTTGTGAGTGCTAAGGCAGCGCTATGCCAGGAGGGCGTCAGTTTTGGGACAGTGGCACCTCTGTTGATTCAGAGGTTCACCAGCGCTTTTGGTAGTTTGCTAGTTTTGTAGTAGAGTGGTGTTGACACTTCTGCTGATTCGGTAAACTCATTCATGGTCGTAGAAATTGTTATTTTGCTGATTATGTTGTGTCAGTATGATTCCTCTGTGTAAAAAAAAAAAGGAGTGTTACATTTTTTTTTTAAACAACAAACAACCAAGTGAAGTTTTGTGCCATGGGTGAACACGGGAAACTGCACAGCTGAACAAATCCACCCGATCGGGACCCTGGGACACAGACAAAAGGCGCCTGGTAGGCAACCTTATCGCTTACTGTATTCTCTGTGTCACAAGGGGTTTCATGGTTGTCTGGCTGCAAGGTAACCCAGTTTCACTAGGCGGACCTTTGTTGTATAAGGCCCCATTCACACCTATGCGTATTGTAATATGCGCGTCTGTCGCGCGACCGTCACGTGTTTTTTTACCGCGATTCGCGGTAAAAAAGTTGCGCGACCGTCGCGCGATTCCAAAGGCTACTTGGCAGTATACAAATGGAAAACGCCCTACAAAACGGACCAATACGCAGCAAAAAACGCTCCGGGACCTTTTCATGCGTGGGCCGTTTTGTAGTGCGTTCGGGACGGGCGGAAATACGGACAGGTGGGAACGATACCATTGACTACAATGCTATTTATTTTTTTGACCGTTTTGTAGAGCGTTCATCGAGCGTAGGACGCGCTACAAAACGGTCAGGTGTGAATGGGGCCTTAATCCTGCACTGTTACCTGTTTATTTTAATTTGTTGTACTGAGTTGAGTCATTACTATGAACTGTGGATGCCTTAGGCAGATGATTGTGTGACTTTGTGATTATTAGGGATGCACCGATACCGGTATTTTGGTATTGAGTACAAGTATTTTTTTTTCGTACTCGCCAATACAGAGTACCGGAAGTCCCATTCAGGAAGCCAGGCGGCGTGTAATGACTCACCACCTGGCTTCCTGATTAGCCGCGAAGCCGGGCAGCATGTAAAGACATGATTTGTGCACCTATTCAGCAGAAGAGACTTTAAAAGTCCGCAGCAGATTTGACCCTGGGGTTATTACAAAGTAACCTATCAGCCCCCCTGGCATTTAAGCAAACTCCCGGCCATTATAACACCCGGGAATTTGTTTACATTTGTAATCCAAGCTACTGGCTTTGGGGATCTACTAGATTGCTGATTATATTGTGTTTGTGCACCCTTATATTAATTCGAATGTATTTTTTTACTAAAAATATATTTGATCAACAGTAGTGCAAATAATGTGTGGCATAAAAAATTGCAAATAACACCATTTTATTTTCCAGGGTCTACGCTTATACAAATATATGTTTTGGGGTTTAAAATGCATTAGCATGTACAAAATGTGCATTTTATTATGTGTGCGGAAAATTAAAAAAAAAAAATTGCCCTGTCAATGGCCAAGAGTGAAAGCAGGTCTTGCTAGAAAAAACATTACGTTTCCACAATTTTGTCAGGAAACAGAGCACCTGCTGTTGGCACTGTAGTGCTGGGATCTGAAACATGTAATTCCAGTGTCCACCAGCGGGGGTCTCTCAGCAGCCAGCAGTCCTCAACAATTAATCTCCACCTGAAGCTGGCTGCTGGGAGGGTATCTGTACCCTCCTCAGGAAACTCAGGAAACTCACTTTTTTTCCCTTGACGGGCCTTGTCTCTTTCTATTTACTCCCTATCAAGTGTTCACATACTGTCCTGATGCTTGCTAAGTTCTACCAAACACATAGCTGAAGTCTATATTTTGAAAATTTTGGGAAATATTGGAGATATGGTATGGGGAATGTGGGGTTGTGGTTTTAAAGTGTTTTTGTTTGGTTTTAATTAAACCTTTAAGACAATACAGTGTGGTACTACTCACAAACTGTACTATGATATTGTTTTGCCACTAGCCAGTTGGGACGAAATTGAGGGCTTCAGGGCAGGGCCAGATCTGGTCCGGAAAATGGTGTGGACCTGCCCACAGTTCCAGTGCATTCCAGACCAGACAAAATGAGATATGCAGTATTTTTCTGGTATGGTCTGGAACAGACTGCACTGGTGTGAACAGAGGCAAGAAATGGCATAGGGATACATTAGGATACATTTTGGGTCCGGAAACAATCTGGTCTGGTCTGGAGATGATCTGGATGTGGTGTGAATAGTCCCTCAGCCTTATTTTTTTAAGGGCTAGTACACACCAGATGCAGTTGTGGTGCAGTCCGTTTAGTTTGACAGCTGCATCAAAATCATGTCCAATGGGATTTCTGGTGCTTTGTTCACACCAGTGCAGTCAGTTCCGATGCAGTCAGAAAAAATACTGCTAGTCTTATTTTAGCTGCACCTGATCGCAACAGAACGCATCAAAATGCATGCAACGCACAGGACTGCATCTGAAAGCCCATTTTAAGCGGAAGAAAAAAAGTAGTAAAATCGCAGCAAAACGCAACGGACTGCAGCTGCACATGCAAGCAGTTATGGTGTGAACTAGTCCTAGGAGTATACCTTCGTATAGCTTTTTAGAACTGTTGTGGCTGCTATTTCCACTGGTCACTTCAGGCCTTTTACCGCTAGATAAGAAAAATCAGGTGTCACAGCCAAAAAAAGCCATTTTGTTTCCAAGTTGTACTTAATTAGATTGGGGTGCTGCTGCTTTATTTAAGCCAAGCAATAATGTAAAAGGTAGAAAATCAGTTACAAAATGTGTGATGCCAGAATATGGTGTTGATGTCAGTGAGAATAATTTTGTTACATAATACGGGACTGGTGTTTTCTCCTTGAAGTCGCATTCAAAGGTGGACCTTCTCCCCACTGTACAGTATTTCTTAATTTCTTTTTTATTGATACATGTCCTGCATGGCGATGCCCAGATCCACATGCCATTTGTTCACAATTTCTTGTCCGTTAACATGTCCAAAATTGAATTTCCATATTTGCATCCAAAGACTTCAACAGCGTTTGGTTTTAGGTTCACAATTCACAATTGGTTTGACGAATGTCCCACAAACCAAACCCAGGCATATTCGCTCATCCCTTTTGTCTTCTGAACCTGCTAAAATCAGCAGTACTAGGTGACAGTGATTTAAACTCTATGGGATGTCTTTATGTATGGTCATGCTCACCAATGTCTCTCATGTTGAATCAACAATCACTTTCTTGCCAAAAAGTTTGACATTTTTCTAATGTTTAACTAAAGAAGGTAATGAATAACTGAGCTTACAAGTTCAAGGAGTGGCACTACTTGGATAATATAACTCTTAATATTGTATTGACGTTTTTAATTGCGATCTTCATACACAATATAAAATGAGCCACTTTAATAAAGACATGTAAGTTTTACTTTTTTTACTGTTCTACTTAGACGCATATTTTAGTTTATACGTAAAAATATAACTTCTTTCTAAGGTGGTTTGGTATTAAAGCTCACTGCTCTAGTACACGGCAGAAATAAATTTTCATAGATGCTTTGCAGTAAAACTATTTTACCAAGGTTGAATAAGTCATCATGCCTTCCTGTGTCTGATGTTAGCTATATACTATGCAATATTTGCAAATGATGACATGGTAAAGATATGAAATCACAATTGTGAAATGTATAAATTAGTAAACAAGTGATGCTTCGCACAAGTGCAAAGTGCAAATCATGACTCTCAACTACCATTTGAGAGTCATGATTGCTGTTCAGTCATTTGCTGGTTGTGAATTTAAAGTCCGTTTCCACCTTTGTGGAGATATTTTAAAAAACAACATATGCCAGCAATGTTCACATTGTACATGCGAAGCAGGCATATGCAGTTGATGTGTATGAACACAGTAATTTACTTTTTTTGTTAGCTTTCCTCTTCATATCCTCATAGAAATGGCTGCCTCTGTGCTCTGTATAAATTACAACTAAGTTCTCTGTGAGCTCTCCACCCCCCATTCATTAGTATTTATAGTGGCACCCCCACTGGATAGTGTATTATGTCTAAGGCATCATTCACACTGGGCGTACACGTCCGTGCGGTGTGCACACCCACAAACAGCAGGTCCCGGGAGGGACAGGTGCTGCATGTGATTGCGCGCAGCAGCCTTTTCTTCCCTATGGAAGGTATAGGTGTCCGCACGTGGACACAGACAGGATCCATCCTGTTTGCTTCCAAGTGTGGACACCTATACCCGCACGGATGAAAGTCAGCGTTGAGCTGGCCAAACCAATCAGCATCGAGGCTGGCTAGGAGCCCATCAGCATCGAGCCAGCCAAACAGCATGGAACCGGCTTCCCGGCCAATCAGGAAGCCAGACGGCGGGTAATGACGCTTCCCGGCCCATCAACATTGAGCCGGCCAAACCAAAAAATAAATATGGGTACTCAAATTCGATACCGGGGAAAAAAAATATTGTGCATCCCAAATATTTATTTATACAAGCAATAAGGTGTTATAGATGACAAATGTGTCTATTTTCTATTGATATAAACCTTTGCCTAAATGAGGTATATGATTTGCTGGCATGTCTATCCTTAATATTTTTCTGCTCGCTTTGTTTAAAAAATGGTCCAATTATTATATTGTTGTGGGGCCCCACATTGTTGGTCATAGTGGGGATATGTACCTAGGTACATTTTTAACATAATGTTAATAAAGTGACAGTCTGTATATTTTAGGGGAGAGAGGTTATTTTGTGTTGATATATGTATATTTTTGGGTGTATTTACACCTTTGTGGAAGCACCTTTGTGTGCAGGCCCTTTGTAGTCCCCCCAAAACAGTGATTTGTGTTTATAAGCATTCAAATATGTGAAAGTCACATCACATCAAGATTCTGCAGATGGGCTCCACAACCCTCCCCCACTTTCCAACCCAGACCCCCGTATCCACTTACATCATCTTCGGAAGGCAAAATAAATAGAGGGGGGTGGGGGGTTTTGATGGAGGTTGTGCATAGGGGAGGGGGGGTTGGTGGGTGCTGGCCAACAAAGCAGGGGTAGATGGTCAGCGGCCACATGCATACTGCAGGGGTGATCAATGGCCACACGCACTGGACTGGTGGGGGGCAGGGAATTGGGCAGGGTGCATTCCCACTCCCTGCAGGCCAGGAGTGCTAGTCTGAGCACAACTTAAATAGAAAGGTAATTTGGGAGGCAAGAAATGGTCATAAAGCAAACTATATTAACCGCGGGTGCGATGCAGCAACACCTAAAGCAGCCAGATAAATACAGCAATAAGGCAGAAACAGAGCGCATGCATGTAGGCACAAGAAAAAGAACAGCCCTGCCTGCCTGTGTAACCAGGGATAAGAGGTCTGCACATGCTTTTAGATCTACAGGTCACAGTTTAGTTGCAGCTCTCCAGCTGAACTCTGACACCAGATTTCTGAGTCACCAGGCGGGGACAACATGTCTGTGTAAAGATCAGAATGACTTGAAGAATGTTGCACATTAGTTGTTTGGAGTCGAACTGGGCAAAAAAGACTCCCCTGAAAGTCTGAATTTCTTTGGAAGATCATCATGATCTGATTCTACAGTTTTTGAACAAACGTTCACCCACTCTGGAAAGTGGGTGCACACTTTCATGCAGTGTAAGGCTTGTCTGAGGATTTGACAGACTTTAAATTCCAGACCTTGCACCTGAATTAGGAGCCATACATTGGGGGGATCTCAATGTGGGGATGGAGGGAGTGAATAAATGAAAGGGACTTTTTTTTTAACAGATAAGGAAGAGTATGCAGTCTGTTCCGTATCCTCGGCTGAGGAAGATGGGTGCGTCAGCCACCAGAGGCATCCTTGATATGGTCAAGACATGGTCTACTGTCAAGATGTTATTCCTCAAGGGCCATGCAGATCAAATCTTTTGTAAAAATCAGGAGCAGTTGCCCATGGCAACCATTCAGCTTCTCTGTTTCATTTTCAAAGCTTATCTGAAAAAAACTGAAAAGAAAAGCTGATTGGTTGCCATGGGCAACTGCTCCAGATTCTGCCTGGTCCTGTTTTTATGAAATCCCATTTGATCTCCTAATGATGAAAAAAAAAACTAATATTCCACTTTTACCACGAGAGGGAGCTCTGTATTTATTGTAGCATGATTTAACCGCATTTATCTGTTGAGATAAAGATGCTGACTTACTAAAGAAGTAGAAAATTTCACATGGTAATTAAAGTGACTTTTCACCTTTTTTTGTTTGGTTGATTCATACACTACGGCCTCATTTAGTGCTGCAGTGTTAGTTTCAAACAGTCATTATTCTCAACATTTCACGCATTTGCTTGTGAGAGTTCAGATTATTAGAAAATAGTGATGAATGACCTTTAGACTAAAAAAAAAAAAAAAAGAAATCATGTTTTGTCTGCTCATAAGCACTAAACAGCAGAGTCACATCTACTTTACTAAGCTAAAGGAAAATTCCCTTGCACAATGAAAATTCCTTTGCAAAGTAAGCAGGCTATTTGTTTGCTATTTTAGTGAACCAGCCCCTATGTGTGAGTAATATATGAAGCTAAGCAGGGTAATTAGGTGGAGGTGTGGACATGCCACGTAAGGACAAAGCAATAAAAGGGAAAGCATATTCTGTAGACATGAGAAGGTTGATAAACCAGTTATTTTCTCATGTAAATTAATAAAAGTAGGAAAACTATTTTCTGATCTTAGAGGTGCAGATATCTGCTTCATATCCAGTATTTGCACATCTGGATTATGACCAAACAAAGCCCTAGGCAGACTATTAGCTTTCCCCCTTTCCCCTCCAAAGTCACCTATTCATTTCTGTTCACATATTCTAATAAGAAAAATAAGCACAAATATTTTCACCTTAATAAAAACTATTTTATCTTATGTATTACTACAAGATTATAAGAGTGTCTTCTTTCTCTACCCTCCCTAATGCCTTATTAGGTCAAAAGCTCTGGCACCTTCTGTATCCTGGAGTAAAAGGTGTTGCGCACAGCTGCGGGCAACCACCTGTACAAATTAATGACAGCAGCGGCATATGTACGCATATACCAGCCCATTATAAAGTTTACATCTATACAGGGAAAGATGAGCAGCCTTGGATGCAGACAGGTTACGTCCAGGGATGCAATAGCCCGCTATATACTGGGCTTTGGGTCATGGGAGGAGGTTAGTATATATCCTCCCGTGCCTCTAAAGAGAACTATGGGATAAAAAGATTACCCCATAGTTCTCTTTTAACAGTTAAGGTACTTGAATGTATTTTTAAGTTTTAAAGTTTAGTGGGGGGGGGTTTTTACACTTTTTTAACCTTTTTTTTTTCATGATGGTCTGGATCTGGTCCGTGGAGACCTGATTCAGACTCCCCGTGCAGCTCTGCAGCAACAGATCACTTCTAATAGTGATCTACTGCCTGCTGCAATCAGCCAGCAATAGATCACTAAAGCAGTGAGACCCTTAATAGAGCTGCAACAGCTCTGTCGCAGCCCCTGTACTGAGAGGAAGTGCTGTATTAAGAAGACCTGCTACAGTAATTGAATACAATTGGAGCATTGTGTAGCCAGACCTGACGCCCAGGAGCTGACTGCTTCAGCTCCTGGGCTTAGTGCTGGTTGCTGGCTGTCACAGACAGCTGGTTGTACCAGCCTTAATCTGTACCCAAACCCTTCAAAGCAGCTGATTCAAGTGGTTGTTATTTTTATTTTTATTACATTTATTTTTTTCTTTTTGCCATTTTTTTTGTATATGCAATTTTGTAGTGTTAGGCAGCACATTAAATGAATAGGCTACCTTAAAGCGGACCTTTACACTTATCTTTAAAACAACTTAAAACATACTGTTAGTGATTAGTAATGATAATCTACAAACACATACTTCTAGATAATTGCCGGCTTTGTATTCTTTGCATTCCTTATTTCTCTTTTCTTTCCCAGCCTTCTGGCAGTGGCCATGTTCACTAAGGGCAGATTACTAGCTCTCCTATTACTTCCTTTATTTCTGGCACATGTGACTAGAAATGTGACTAGGACATGTTACCAAGCACATCATCTCAGTGGAGGAAAATGCCTTTCCCTGAGATCTCCTGAAAGTACAGATGAGATTTCCCAGCAATGCTCTGCTGATGACAAGGCGATCCCGGTGTGCATTGCTTTGGCAACCTGAAGTCATTTGCACTTTCAAAGCAGGAAATGAATGCTCTGCAAGTGTAAGTATTTCATAATCACAGCATTTTACACCTGACATGTCAATGTTATTATTATTCATCATACATAGAGGGATGCATTGGTAGAATTTGATTTTTGAGTGTAAAGGTCCACATTAACCTCTTCCCATCCGCCCGTTGTGAAAAAATGGACGGACAGCAGACTCACTTGGGCGCATTGCCGTAATTAGACAAAAAAAAAAATGTTCTGCTCGCTCGTGCCCCCTACAGCACGCACGGGCAGAAAAAACCTGTCCGCAAGGCACATACAAATGTAAATGGAACCTTAATCTCTTGCAGGCAATTCAAACCTATAAACCTGATTCCATGCAGTAATATGAATCTAAACCTCTAAATGTGTAGGTTTCCTGACTTTCTCTCTGATTGCCCTTTTAGAGCACTAATAACCAAACTATTACTTTTATAATCAGAAAGGTGTTAACTTTACACTATGAGATCGTGGCGAGAACATTATTTTACTCACAGCTCCAATTACAGCCATTATTTGGCAGTATTTAGTTACCATATTGTTGAACACTAGAACTGAAAGGTGCTCAATAATAAAGAAAAATGTGTTGTAATGGTTTTTAAATCGAGGTACAAGTATGCACTTAATTAAACAGTCATTTACTAGAGAGCTCCAGATGAAGTCTGAATAAGACACAGTTCAACTGCAGACTCACTCACTGCTGAATATGATAAGATTAAGTAATTCAACATATAGGTAAGTATCACTACAACGTTCTTGTTTCATTTATCACCACGTGATTCCGTGTGGTTGACAGTAGACATGTGCGATTCGTTTCGTTCCGAATCGAAATTCGGACAAATTTTTGGAAATTCGGATGTATCCGAATTCCGAATTACAGATATAACGAATGCAAACGAATCCGAATTTCCGTTTCCGAAATTCGGTAGCGGTAGTTCGGTCGAACGTTCGTTTCGTTTTCGTTTCTTATTCGTTTCGTCCGTTGAAGAAAAACATTTTCCCATTTCCCACATTTTGAATGAAACGAATAAGAAACGAAATGAACGTTCGAACGAACTATCGCTAACGAATTTCGTCCGAATTCCGAATCCGTATTGACTTTCACACCCGAATCCCGAAAAACGAAATAACACAAATCCGAATTTAAAACGAAACGAAACAAATTTTTTGGCAGTGCACATGTCTAGTTGACAGCGATTTATCACTGTGACTTATCTGGGATTTGGCTGTCAGACTGCATCCACTTGTTTCCAGTCCAACGCACTCTCTGTTGCACTGTGAAGCACAATCTAGTGATAAAAGGGTCATGTGGCATTTTTTCTAAAACAATACAGACTAATGATTATGAAGAAGTGTAATTCAATCCATGATTATACTTGCCCTGATACAAATAAATTATTTTAACCAAAACCATATTTGACTGTGCTAGGAAGCGCTTCTCATTGGTCAGCGTGGTCACCTGACTGCACTGACCAACGAGTGCTTGCAATTTCCAAGTGAAATTCAAAATATGAGGTACACACGTGGCGGCGGAGGGGAAGGGCCATTCACCAAAAGGTAAGTATAGAGGGAGGGTTGACCAGATTTAAGTGGTTAATTCAATTTTCCCAGGGGAAATACCTGCTACCCTCTGAAGACGTCAAGTGACTAAAAGCGTCAGGGGCGGGGCTAGCTGAGATTGATCTTGCATCTCGAGGAGACAGGAGCTTGTTTGCAGATAGTGCGGGCCAGCTGCTGCAAATTTTAAATGTAAGTGTCTGCTTGCCCATTCTTTAAATAAAACTCCTTCACTATATCACAAGGATCCCTGTACATTATTTCTTTCATATGACTGGAAACATCAAAATTGTATTGCTGCTGAGACTACAAAACAGAGGAATGGAATGATTGATCTATGAATGATTGCCCTTTGGTGGGATTTCGTAACAGTCAGAGACTGTTTCACTCTGGCAGAAACTAATGATTTAACAGCCAAAAAAAACTGGAAACTTTTGATTGATTTTTTGATCTACTAAGCTGTGTAGACATAAGAAATCCGGCAACCAACCAGTGCGGTTAGTGCACAGCCTTTTGTTTAAATTACTTATCACCTATTTCAAGGATGTTTGCATTCATCACTTTCCAGTATTATTTTTTTCACAAGCTTTTACATTGTTTCACATGTAGTGGATTGATTGTATCACTATAATTTTATTTATCTTTACTTGTTTCTGACACATTGGATGGATGTTTTAAGAATTCCATATTAGGAGTCAGTTCACATTTTTATGATATCAGAATCTCAGCAGCAGAATAGAACCTCTGATTGGTCAACCAAAACAAAATACGAATTCCGTTAACGGATTCCGTATCCGAATTTCGTATTTCGGACTTAAAAAAAAAATACCATCAACTCCAATATAAATGTACTTTGCTTTTTAACTTCAATATATAACGAATGTTCGTAACGGAACGAAAATACGTCAACGGAATTTCATATTTCCTGCCTGTGTATTGTAATGCAAACCTCAGCAGCAGCGGATCCGTATTTCGGATTTAAAAAAAAAGTCTTGTCATGTTGTTCAACCTCATTTACAGGGGTAATATTAGTTCCTGTTTCAAATAAATTCGGATCCGAAATTCGTTAACGGAATTTCGTATTTCGGATATAAATTCGGAAACTGCAATTCGGATTTCGTATGCTTACGAATCTACGAATTTCAGGAACATTCGTACGAATTTCGATTCGTAACGAAACGAATCACACATGTCTAGAGGTGACTGAATTTCCGTCTTCATTGTTTTCTCCCATTAAAAGACTGTGCCTATAGTGTTACTCCTATTCTCTCTATATTCAAACTTGCATGTTTGTACGAGCATCATTTATAAGAATGATTACACAAACTGCTGCCCTCTCGTGTTTGTAGCCATATTTGGAGCTGCTTTGAGACACTATTTAAACTGCTGAACAGCAGTGGTTCTGAGATGGGATATCCCCGGTCATAACCAAAGCAGTCAATCACATTTCATCTAATTGAAAACAGATCATCAGTAGAGCAGTTTGGAGAGTAAAGTACTCAGTGTAGAGGTTTCAAACTGGTTGATCACTGCAACCACAGAAAGTCAAACAGAGGGGCAATTAGCAACTAGAAACCCTATGTAGATTGCCTAGAGAACTGTGATGTATGTATGTAAGGGGAGGGGGAGGAAGTCTCAGCTTCCTGGGAGCAGATGCCCCTCTTTTTGGATGCTGCTTGTGTAACTACATAGCTCACACCTGCTTGAAGTGGACTCTGATATATGAATTTCTGCTTAAATATAACCATTATTTTCTTTGGCGCAACCTGGCAATGACAACATTAAACAATTAAAAGGTGATGTTATTTTTAATTTTCTATTTATTACTTACAATATGCAGAATGGACATTCCTACCCTTAAGGCAACTGTCCTTCTCCATGGGATCCCTATATCAGCAGAGAGTGCAGAAAACTGGGAACGAGTGACAGATTTCCAAGCTAGACCTGATGATGTGATCATTGCAACCTATCCTAAAGCTGGTAATTTTTCTTTCTATTCTACAGTTTACTAATCATTGACATGTTAATTACACATGTTCAAAATTATGGGCTCCAATACTTTCATAACAAAGTATGGCATTCTGGTATAATTTAGGGTTCTTTGTTGTACTACAGTGGTCCTTGTGGAGCAGTGGAAGCTCAGAAGCCACATGCTGCACCCTTTGATGCTGATTAAACTAGCTTCTCAACAAGTTTATTTTATTAAAGCATACGAATATTATTGAAAGACTTGCGAGTTAGAGTTTTACTGCTGCCTGTGTCCAGTTTAGGAGATTAACCCCCTTTTCCTATGTAGACAAAAGGGAAATCTGCCCAACACAAGAAAAGCATTTTTAGTCCAGTGTCCTCAACTTAGCTTGTTTCCACAGTATTCAAGCATCTCCAGGTAGCAAAAACAGATTCACTGTCAACATCTCTGAAGTCACATGAGTAGAAAAACACCAGTAGTTACCAGGGAAATATACAAACAGGTTACCTGTACCTTCTTGAAAGTTACTCACCACCTTTAGAGTGAATATATAATCGTCTGCAATCCTTTAACATGTTATTGATCTCTAAAAGGGACATGGACATCCATATTAGCCTGGTGTCTATCTTCCCACTGTATGGGAATATTTTAACTTGTTAGCAGTCCCATCTGACATCAGGTCACCACAAAAGTGAGCGGAAATCTCTCCAATGTAAAAAACTTTTTAAAAAATGTTTTTATTGGAATTCCACTTTAAAGAGGCTCACCACTACTATCTATGGTTCACTAGGTGACAAAGTGTGATGACCTATAATGTAACATAAATATTAACTTATCCAGACAAAGAGCCTTTAATATAAGTTTATACTATACAACAAATGGAAGTCTGGCCAAGATGCTCCTACTAAATTAGTCTGTGGCTTTGGACATCAATGTTGGTTAAACCAGGCACCCCCAGGTATGTGTCATTTTGTGCACATTTTCACCAGTTTTGCCAAATTGTGTATTGGAATTTTCTAAAGAATTCATTATGTTACATATTTCAATATTTTATATGTAGCATCAATAAGAGTAAAAAGCAGAAAGTGAAGAGAGGGCGGTTGGAACAACCCAAAGTCATTACTAAAGGTGTCCATATGCTAGAAGAATATCTGCACAAAAAGCTCATTACAATCTTCCCAGGTTAGGAAAAAAATCTTCCAGCATGTGTTCAGAACTTCCCCCTTGCACTCCAACAGTTATCTGCCTGAATATTTTTTCCTTTGCCCCCCAAATGATATGGGCAGTAAGTCGTAATATAATGAATAGTATTATGACACTTCGGCTCCCAGACCCGAATGGCAGCTCAGAATGTCAAACAGGCAGAAAATGCCCTGTGACGTCACAGCTTGCTCCGCCTATTTGTCTAGATCGGGAGCTGTCATTTTGCGGAGAGTCTTCATCGGGTTCGGACGGGTCGTTGTGCGGCGGGATTTTTTATTTTGGTGAGTCGGCAGGCATCGTTTATCATGATTGATCCTGAATTACAATCGATGGACCCATTTTTTTTTTTAAATAAAAGGTATTGTCAAAAACAGACTGTTTTTTTTTCAATTAACTCCTTAAATGGCGGCAGTTGCAAATTTTTATGTTGCACGATATATGCACCTAAGTTGAATTTAGTGCCCCAAAACACAATACAATACTCCTTTTCTTTTGTGTAAAATATAAAAGACGAAGTTACGATGAGTAAATAGATACCCAACATGCCCAGGTTAAAAATTGCGTGCATCTGTGAAACGGTGACAAAATTCAGTACGTCAAAAAGTCCATAGACGACGCTTTAAGAGCCCCTGTAGGTCATCAATTTAGAGATACTCATAAATATTGACCCCAGATGTATTGCTCTCACTCTGGCTTGTGCGGTGATGTCCAACATGTGCAGCTCGATCAATGTTTTCATACGTAGGTGCACCCAACGCATGTTTAGGTGAATACGTGCGTGCTTGCGGGGCAGGGGGCATTAAAAAAAAATTCAAATTATTTTTACATTTAATATTATTTTTACATCATCGTTTCCCCTTTACATAAGGAGCCCCCTTCACTTCAGTCTTCATTCCCCCTCTCACATCACAGTGCCATGACCACAAAACTTTGAGGCACCCCTGAGGAAGCCAGAAAGCACACCAGGGTGCTACGGCACCCTGGTTGAGAAAGGCTGCACTAAGGTAATGGGAATAAATAAAATCCGATAATTATGAGAGTTAGAAACTAGATTTGATGATGGAATCGTATTTGTTTACATAATAGATTAAGAAGACTTTAAAGTATAATTAAAGGCAAAACTTTTTCTTTATTTAGATAGAGTAGTGAAGTGTAAGAACCACTGGCAGCTTTTAATTGCTGTCTGTGTTCCAATTAGGGTGAATAACTCTTTCTAATTGTCCTTATCACCACTGTCACTGGGGATAAAAGTGAGGCTAATTCCAAAATTTTGCATTGCCACCTGAACAGCAATAGATAGATCATCTTTCTACAGGGACGCTTGTTTCCCTGAAACATGGATTTACCTCTCATTGGAAATATATCTACAGAACAGGAAGTGAAAGGAGATCTCCCTGATGAGACATAGATGGCAAACAAAAAATACTGCAGTTTTAACCCTCTCCTACTCTATCCAAAAAGAAATTGACTTTAGATATACTTTAAACCATTATTCAGTTTAAACTTCAAAAGTATCTATAGTAGTGGTGCCTAACATGTTGCCCGCCGGCTCTCTTTGTGCATCCCGTCACTTGTCGGGCACTTTGCAGAGTAGTAGCAATATGCCTGGTGCTGGTATGTTCTCTGCGTTCCTGCACCTGGTACTAAAATGAAGCCAGGCTGAGTGCCATCTTAGCAATACCTTTATTCTAACAACAAACATGATCACTTTTTCCTTTCTTGTCTGCAGTCATGTATTAGTTTTCATTTGATGTTCTCACTAGGAACTACTTGGGCGAGTGAAATTGTGGACACGATTTACTGTGAAGGAAATCTTGAAAAATGTCGACGAGACACCATATATAATCGAGTACCTTTCTTAGAATTTAAAATTCCTGACATGCCTACAGGTAATACATTGAATGTTTATAAAAGAAATAACATCAACGTTGAATTTGTCACAAAGTATGGCACTACTTATACATGGGTGCAGCTGTGTTTTTGGTAAAACATGTCCACTTTCTATTTTGTTTGATCTCATAGGAGTAGAAATACTTGAAGGAAAACCATCTCCAAGACTTGTAAAAACACATCTGCCTATTCAGCTGATGCCAGAATCCTTCTGGGATAAAAAATCAAAGGTAGCTTCCGTTCTACTGCAAACATATCTATATTACAATTATATAACCCCCAAAATATATAAACACATTACAAGATCTGTCTTTCTAACTTGCACTTTTTGACATCTAGCTCCAGCTTCTTCGAAAGCAGTGTGGCCTGGTCATACAAGTGTAGTGCTACCCCAGAAGGAGCCACTGAATAGAATGGTCCCTCTTAGCCTGTCTAGGATATACTGTAGTGTTGCTGCCCCAAAGCACTTACCAACCCTCCAGTGGCGACCGACTGATAAGAGAGGTAGAGAGGGTTAGGCACAGGACACCCAGAGTGTAATAGACTACAAAAATGATGGAACAAAGTACTTGCAGCCTTCATAGAATAGATGACCTTTAAGCCGATTGCGGCAATCTGTGTCTTGAGCTCCTTGCTGTGCAGTACTTGATATAAAAGCTACTAGTCCCTTTCAGATAGATTGCCCAGCTGCAACAATGGATCAACTTCTAAGGTTTCCTGTACCAGCTAAACTTGCTCTCTGTCATCTCCATCCTCAGCTTCAGGGTGTAGAAGGAATCCCTAGTATGCCTACCATAAAGTGTATTTTCACGTTTGCAGCCAAATTGGGATAACATACTTTATATTTGTTACCATTCACATAGCATAAAAAAATTAAATATTGCTACTTGCCTTTTACTAGCTCTTTTCTGAGAACCCCAACACTGAAGTTTTCTTCTGCTCTGTAATGTTAAGGAGGGGGGTGAAGAGTTAAAGAAGAAGTCTCACCTTGAATTTCTCGCTCCCATGATGGACTACAATCTCATGCTTAGTGTACTAATTTTTATTGAGATTGTAGTCTATCACAGGAGCGAGTATGGAGCGGTGACTACTTTACAACACACACAAGAGGGAACAAAGTAGCCACCCTCCAGAATGAAGGACAGTGTCATCACAAATTCAAAGATGATTTGAGGATCTACAGCTGAGTGATACACAAATAAGATATATTTTTGGCAATAGTTAAGGTACTTGAATGCATTTTTAAGATTTAGTGTCACTTAATGTATACCGTAGCCCTGTCGGTACTGTGCTGGCAGATCTCATTATCAGTTGTAAACTAAATTTGCACACTATGTCTTTACAAAGTGTTAAAGATCTCATGGATTGGGTGGTGCATTTTATGTTAATACACTTTCCAACAGTCTGTCACCACTTTGTCCTTCCCTTTTCACTTTAAATTGTTCACAATAGCTTGCAGTCTGCCCAAAAGCATATCCCAAAGAAACAAATAGATATGCAAGACATTTTTAACAATTTTAATTTTTTTTACTAGGGATGCACTGATACAGTTTTTTCGGTATCGAGTACCAATAATTTTTTTTTTATACTTGCCGATATTGAGTGACGAGGGATCATGGAGCCGGCTTCCCGGCCAATCAGGAAGCCGGGCGGCATGTAATGACCCGCGGCGGGCTTCCCGATACCAGAAGTTCTGGTATCGGGATAGGCATCGGAAGCATTTGGGTGAGTACAAGAGCTCGCCCAAATATTCGGTATCAGTGCATCCCTAATTTTTACTCATGCTGTGTAAATGGGAATACAACACAATCATATAATGGGATTTTTTAAAATTTAACAGCAAAAGTGGAAATACACTTTAAGCTCGATAATCAAAACTCTTAAAATGAACATGTACTATACCATTTGAAACTTTTAAAAGTAAAACTGCCAAAAAGATATAACACGATGTGTGTTACTACCATTATTAGCCAGAAAAGCCTCTTATATGCCCCTGACCTTCCCTGACTTCATGGCTAGGCTCCACCAACTGCCTTCAGCGAGGTTTTACTGAAGTGTGAGCTGAACGGTGGTTGCTGGCAGCATGGCACAAGCCTTTTAGTAGTGATTCAACTTCTTGGGGAAAGTGAGAATAGCAAGAATAGTAGTATTATACTCTCAAACTCATACTTTAACAGAATGTCATCCATCGCTTCCAAATGATTTCTTGTCAAATACAAATACATTTTGCAAGTTCACATTGTTGTAAAGTTACAATAACAAACTTACTGTTGCTGAAATCAAATATTGTTGATTTATTTTGTCAGATAGATTAAATTGCTGTCAATATGCATCACAGCATTGTAGGAGACTACCTTGACTCTCTCAAAATGCCTAATTAAATCCACACCATTGATTATTTAAGGTGAAGGTATAATTAGTGCGACTTTTCATAGAACTGTAAACAATAAAATTGTATAAATCACGAGCTGGGCCCTCCTAACCTTCTTGCCTCAAACTGTTTTGTAAATGTACTATCTCCCTTTGTTTTGTAAAGTGATTCACAAACTGCTGGCGCTAGATAAATCTTGTACAATTAAAATAGTATAGACACATATTAAATATCTTCCATCCAGGTGATATACATTGCCAGAAATGCAAAAGATGTGGCTGTGTCATACTACTTTTTCCACAAAATAGTGAAAGCCTTGCCTGATCCTGGACCTTGGGATTCATTCTTAGATAATTACATGAAAGGATATGGTAAGAAACATATATAGAGAGATACAAAATTTGAATCATATACTAGACAATCTTACACCTGTAAAATTCTTATTTTAGTGTGCTATGGCTCCTGGCATGATCATGTTAAAGGTTGGTGGGAAAAAAGATATGACCATAATATCCTTTATCTCTTCTATGAAGACATGAAAGAGGTAAGGATTACATGACTTTAGTATTTTACATTAAGCCATAAATGGCCCATTATTGCCAAATGTGTGTCTCTAAACCAAGGGTCTTAAACTCAATTCACTCGGGGACCACTCTACAAATTTTTTTCTCCCATGAGGGCTGCTTGCAAATTTCATACTTCAAAATAAAATATAACTATATCCGGTATGGTACTACAGACACCAATACACACAATAAGGCCACATTCATATCTGTAGGTTTAGGTGTTATAAGGAGTTTCTGTGTCAGGAACTTGTGTTTTTCTACAGCAGGAATCCCTAATCTGGCATTTACAAGCGGAAGCTGTCATCCGTTTAAGTTAATGATCAGGTGACAGCCGTTGCTTGTAAATGCCTGCACACCGCATGTAATGGTATGTAATATGATTACATGCAGTTAGAAAACACTAATCGATGCGTCCAGTAATAGTGATTGATTCCTAACCGCATGAAATCATATCACATATCATTACATGCGTTGTGTAGGCGTTTACATGCAGTGGCTGTCGCCTGATCATTAACTTGAATGGGCAACAGCTGCCGCTTGTAAACACCAGATTAGGGATTCCTGCTGTAGGAAAACACAAGTTCCTGATGCAGGAATCTTTAATTGCACCTAAATTTACAGATGTGAATGGAGCCAAATACACTTCTTCCCCCCCCCCCCCCCCCAAACATAAAAAAATAATAAAAATACCCCTGCACATAAAATAATACAACCCCCCCACACATATGAAATAATACAACAACCCCCCCCCCCCCACACACACACACACACACCCAGCCAGTTATAAAATAAAACAAAGAGCCCCTCACCTGCTTACCTTTTTGCAGGGAGGAGGCATTGAGGCACAATCACTGGTGATCCAGTGGTTGATTAGTAAGATCTAGTGCAGACCCTACTAATCCATCCTTTCAGCTAGTGTTCACTGAAGGATTTCAGAGCGCTGAACGAAAGGATCCGAGTGCCAGCACAGAGAAGCAGCTATGTGGTCTGTGCATTCAACAAAGATGCAGACTGTGTAGCTACTCTGGCAAGTCAGGTACACGGTCCATGACTGCGTGCCTGACTTGTCAGCTGGCTGCGGCCACATAGTACTGGTTTGCGGGCCGGTACTTTGAGACCTGTGCTCTAAACTCTTTCCTAGAGCAGCCTTTCTCAACCAGGGTGCTATGGCACCCTGTCACACCATCATGAAATGTAAACAATGGCTGTGGTTAGCATACCTATCGGTTTGTGAGAAGAAATGAAGAGTTCCGTGATCACCAGCCAGCTCTAATGCCATCTAGCTCCAGTGGCATCCAGTACCAGTGCCAGCAAGTACTAGAATCAGTGCCATCCAGTACCAGATCCCACACATTTAGCACACCGCTATGGTGTGAACAGGGCCTTAAGGATTAGCTGTAGATTGGCTGTATGTGCTACTTCTGTGCATGCGGAGGCTTTCAATGATCACTGAACTTTATGTAGCTCAGAATTAGTGTGCAGATGCTCACAATTTAGAAAAAAATAAATTAAACTTTACTGATGTTAGCTCTTCCCCTAAAACATAAAGTACACCTTGATCGTTTATTATTTACATAATTCCACATAGAAACACTGCTAACAAATAGGTCTTTTAACAGAATCCAAAGAGAGAAATCAGAAAAATGCTACACTTCCTGGAAATAGATATGAGTGAAGATATTGTGGAGAAGATTGTTCACCACACCTCTTTTGAAGAAATGAAAAACAATGACATGGCCAATTACAAAACCCTGCCAAAGGACATACTTGACCAGACGACTACTAACTTCATGAGAAAAGGTAATGCTTATTTTTTATTATTATTACAAGACAAGCAGTCCTTTTAAAAGACTTGCCACCATCTTTCATACTTTGATATATACACATGAAGCAGGGCCCTGCACATTATTTTAAGTAGTTTTAAATATACTTTGTCTAAAATAAGACTTTTTCTGTATTTTCATCCACATATGTAACATCAGTTTGATATATACTGTATTTATATGTGGTTGTTTCCATTCATACAAGAGGTGTTCTTTCAAGAGACCATGAGTTGTCTGTTTAGATGGTAACAGTGTCTATTTATAAGAAATCATGCCTCTATATTGCTGGTGGGGTGCAGAACTGCATGCTTAATATAATACATGTGACACTAAAAGGCAAATAGTGTCTCTGCATGCTGGAACGCACCTGACTGTAATATAACAGAAATATCCTTTACTCTTTTTAGGAATAGCCGGTGACTGGAAGAACCATTTCACTGTTGCACAGAATGAGACGTTTGATGAGGACTACAAGAGACAGATGTCAGACATAGACCTACACTTCAGGACCGAGATCTAATGCATTTTTCCCATTTCTTTAGAGCAGAACACCGGGTAAAATTTTCTTAACCCTTACAGTCGGGTTACTCCTGCAGTGCAAGGGTTTAGTGGTTGTTTTTGCCTAGAGAGGAAAATAACAAAGTAATACTCACCCGATCCTCCCCTAGAGCAGTCCCGGGAGCCTCTTTTCCCCTCTGTCTAAGGTCCCGTAAATCATTACGTTCTATACACAGTGTATAGGACGTGAGGATGCTGAGGGACATTGCTGCAGCGTAGGAGGAGACAGGCATGAGGGAAGGCTGTCACTGCAAGCTGGCTCTGAGAATCAGGAGAGTATAACTTCATTTTGTTCACCAAGCAAAAAAACAAGCAGTGCAGGGGTAGCCCTACTGTAAGGATTATTACAAATGTTACTCTTCCTTAAAATATTTTTAGTAACTTTTCATGTCTGTATAATCTATTCAGGACATGTCATAATATATTTTAACAGTATCATATTAAAAATACATTTTCAATTAAAAAAACAAGCCTTGGACTCTAGTCAGGCATCTATGATTAAGCTGAGGTGATGTCATGAAGCATTTTTTCAGTCTCCTCCCCACTACCTAACATTGTAACTTTGTAGCAAGTCACAAGGTGAGAGGATGCAGCAGGAAACTGATCTGTGTCAGATATTTGTGAACACAGTAAGGCTAGGTTCACACCTAGGCGTATCGAATATGCGCGTTTGTGGCGCGTTTCGTGCCGCACATTTTTACCGAGATTGGCGGTAAAAACCGTGTGACAAACACACGTTTCCGAGGGCTACCTGGCTGTATCCCAATGTATACGCACGGCAAATACGCCCCAAAGAAGCTCCTGTACTTCTTTTGGCGTAGGGCATTTTGTAGCACGTTCATACGGCCTGTAATACCCCAGGTGTGAACCATACCCATAGGAAATAATGGGATTTCGGTGTTTGAGCGTTTTGCAGAGCGTAGGAACGCGCAGGTGTTAACCAGGTCTAAGGGCTCATTCACACAGCGTACCGTCGGCCCATACAGATCTGTGCGGCATGCACGGCCGTATCAGTCTGTTCCCAGAAAGGACAGGTGCTGCGTGTGATTGTACAGAGCAGCCTGTTCTTCCCTATGGGAGGATGCAGCAATACGCTGTCATACGCTCACCCGAGCTGCACACCCGTGCTGGTGTTATTGCTCGGACACAGGCAGGATCCATCATGTCTGCTTGCAGCTCGGGTGAGCGTACGACCGCGTCCTCCCATAGAGAAGAACAGGCTGCTGCATACAATCACATGCAGCACCTGTCCTTCCGGGAACGGCCCGATACGGCCATGCACGCCACACGGATCTGTACGGGCCACCCGACGAGATGTGAATGAGGTCTAAAGAATGGCAAATATATCAGGATTTACATAATATGTCAAATCTGAGCCCAAATCTCAGTCCACGATGTAGATTCCGACCCTGAATTTGCAAAGGTGGTGCTGTCTGCCTAATGAGAAAAGCAGGCAAAGTGCTGTGAAGTCTGTGAGGGATAATAAATATCTGTTTTAAAATTACACATTACTAGCATGCATGCACTTCACATGGAAAATATATGTGATGCTAGCCCTACATTAAACCGAAAAGGATGTAAAAACATAAGTTAGGTACCTGGTAACTTGGTTTCCAGGAATCTCCCAGGGCAGCACCTGAGAGAAGAGTAGGGTTGCCACCTTTTCTTCAAGCCAAACCCGAACACTGTAGCGCCTTGCGGCAATTTTTTGGTAAAGTACATTATGCATGTATTTTGTGATTAAATAACATTGGAGGTAATCACAAAGATGCCAGTGTGCCACAGGTCCCCAGATATAGAATCTGTACGCAGTGGTGTATTCTGGTTTGGGGCCGCCCTAGGGAAGACGAAACAAGGGCGCCCCCCCAACCCCCCCCCCCTTCACTAAATCCGCAGGTTCTCATGGGGGCTGTGCAGGTTCTGTGGTGGGCTCTGGCATAAGGCCCACCACAGATCCTGCAAAGCCCCCGAGAAAGCCGCACACTCTGCCGGGATTGTGCTCACACAGCACAGCAGAAGGTCCTCCTTCACGCATTCCTCTCTAGGACCCAGGGGCTGCCCCTGTCTGCCTGAACTTGTGACATCTTGTGTACGGGCTGAGGTGGCCATAAACCCGTACACAAGATGCCAAAACCATACTGTCCTGTCCGGTTGAAAACCGGACAGGTGGCAACCCTAGAGAAGAGATCCATCCACCTGAAACAGTAAACACATCATCCACAATTAGATTAAAAAGGGCTGTCCCTCCTAACCACCTCAGTATTACAATAGAACCGAAGGGCAGAAAGGACCACCAGACAGTAACAATGAAAGTCATGTTGAACCATGCCCCTCAACAAGCAGGGCAGGAATCCCTGCTGCCAAGAGCACCTTACTGCCAAGAGTTTGATCACAACAGATGGAGGGTAACTCTGCAGTGCTACACCAACGATTGTAACTTATTTCAGTGACTTCCTTACAGATTTTCTCTGGTGAAAACCTAGCTTCTCTGCCCAAGATGAGTCAGGTCTTTATTGAAGCTCATCATAAAAAATTCTAGAGGATGACAGGGCGATGGATGTCCGAAACCACCAGGCATCAGTGTTATGTTGTTTTTCAGCCTTTATTAGGCCCTGGAACAGGTCACAAATATTCTTGGATCTCCTCAAAGAGTGACTGATTTCCAAGTAGTACCAGAGACATCTTCTAAAGCCTTGTTAGATTTAAAAGCTAACTTCTATACGCTGGATGAAATAGGATAAAAAGAGAGGGATGCTTAACCTCTTGGAAGCGATCTCTGTCCTCCCAGGTCCTCAAGATGCCAATAACTGTCTGGGGTGCTGCACACCAGGACTATCCGGCAGCAGACTAGAGTATATATATAAAAAGCTCTGCCCCAACGTTATCTGGAGGTAGTATAAAGTAGTCTTTTTTTAAGTGACATCAATTCACACGTAACCTGATAGTAGGTACTATGGATATGAAAAGCATTGATATACATGGCAAAATGTATTGTGTGTGTGCCTGTATACACACTGTCAGCTATGAATCATCAGCTACTTAAGATGCTAAGTAGTTGATGGAGTAAGGAAGGCATACATATACTGTATAACGATATGTGTACACCCATACATGAGGAAGATGTAGAGTTTGTTTGAGCCTCGTCTGGGACATCTTTCTGAATGTACTTAGGCCCTTGATAAAAGACTGTCAATTTCAGAACTTCTGACCTTTTCAGAAGCCAAGGGCTCCCTGGGTAAGTAGTATTTATCCAGTTAACCCCTAAGTTTAAATGCATTTGATCATTTCCATACTGTAAAGGTGCCCATACACTGCACGATTCTCGTACGAGAATCGCGGGAAATCCCACGATCGTACGAGAATCATGCAGTGTATGGAAGGCATGCGACCGTTTCTACTGTACGGTCGCACGTCTTCCATCGAACCAGCATGTTTGAAAACCCGATGGGAATCGTACGATTCTCGGCGAGTTGGTGGCCTGCTTGTTCGACAACTGCCGAACGGTTTGCAGTCAGCGTAAGCCCGCCCCTCATTACAGTCATCGCAAGCCCGCCCCTCAGGGGGCGTGGCTTGCGATGATCGAGAGTGCGATCTGCCCGTCCAAGATGGGCAGATCGTACGTTTTTTTAATCCCTTTACAACCATCGCAAGACTAAGGTCTTGCGATGGTTGTACAGTATATGGCCACCTTTACAGTGTAGCCCAATTGGCAGGAATTGCTCCAGATTGTCTGGAGATTTCCACCAGTGCAGACAGCAAGGTCATTCACCTGTGGAGCACCCGCCCCCAAGTGACATTGCCTATCTGCAAATCTTGTAAATTGCACCTTTGTCTGCCTCTCCAGGTAAAACAGGGTGATCCACCCCAATACCTCAACATTTTCAAGTGAAAACAAAGGAATAAAAATAAACCATTCCGTGCCTAAGCCCCACAGACAGAAAACATGTCTTTAGGTACTACATACATGCCGCATGTTTCACCTGTAAGCTGTCTGCAGGCATAAGAACATGGCTGATCATGGCAAAACACACCGCATTACCTCCAACAGAGTGTGGCCCTGCAGTCTCAGGTTTCCATGAGACTGGCGCTGCTAGGAATACCTTCCAGTATAAGGCATGACAACTAAGCGTGCTCCCTATCCCCAGCAATATGTACACGAGAGGGGAGAGTCAAGGGGAAGACTAAAGAGAAAAGTGGAACAGCCAGGCTGTCCTAAAGAGGAGACTGCCAAGATCCATCCCCAGACCCCTAGGGAGCCAGATCCTGTCTGTGTGAGAGAGATATGACCATGGACTCTCTCTCTCTCATGCATGCCACTCAAAGAAGATACACAGATCTGGCAGAAAGGCTTGTACCTGAATAAAAACAATTTGTCAATGCAGGAAGCACATCTCAGGGTGTGTTGGCTTCTGCTGGCAGGGGCTTATCCTCTGAGGCCTATACTTACGCCAAAAAAGGGAAGGGCTCAGAGCCTGCCACCCGAGACCAAGCTGCACCCACGTGGAGAGAAACCCACTGAGAGGCGCATAATTCAAGCCAAGTACCCTTTGCCCCACCGAAGCAGGCCCCCAGAGCAAGAAAGGTACAGGTACGGGGGACTTGTCACCTGTAGACCCGCCTACCTTGGAGCTAGTGCCTTATACCCCAGAATGGGAGAAGAAGCCTGTGATGAAGAGTCCGATGGTGTGCACACCCCTTGCTGGCTGGACTGCGTTCCTGCCCCACTCCTGGTGCCCCTGCTTGCCGGTGGGGATTGCTAACAAGACGCAGTATTCACGTCCTGCTGTGGCCCAGCTCTGCTACCGGCCAGAGAGCCCAACGGGTCATCCGTCAATTCCTCTAGCAGGACACTCCGGGGGACTCAACTAGAGTCACTACGCCAGCGAGGATAGTTGCCATCTCCTTCAATTATGGAGGGAAACCTCTGGGCAAACCGTTTTTATAAGGACTCTGGGGGAACCAGTCCT